TTACCAGCCCCTTGAACCAGGGTTTTCTTAAACATCTGTGTTTACAGTAAATGGAAAAAAAATCAAGGTTTTTACTGAAAATTATACTTACCTACTTAAAAATCACATTTGCCTTTAAAATGACACTATTTAATTCCCAATACACAGTATTTCAACTACATTGTTATCTGTGATAGAAGGGATGGGTTTTTTTTCCCCTAGGAAAAATGCCTTTTGAATTTTAAATAACTTTCAGACTCTAGGTTATTTAATGTCACTAGTTGATCTACTACAAATGCACCTTTAGAATATTTATTCAAACTAAATGCTACAAAGTTATACAAAATTCAGCTATCAATTTTTTAGCAAAATTGCTTCTATTTTTCAAAGTCTCAAGTTATTTAAAATAACTATATATTACAGTAGCAATAGAAATAGAGTGAGTGTATAGGATATAGTTGTTTAAGGGAATTGTATTGTCACTGGGTATCAAATATGGATAAATTATTGTATGAAATATAACTGCTAACCAAAAATAAAATGAAGATATTTCAAAATTCATAAATATTTAAAAACATGCACAAATATAAATGATATAAAACTAAGTAAAAGCATGTGTTTAAGTGGAGAAATGCAGGGTATGAAGATAAAAAACAACTTACAACACATTGATGTTTGTACAAAATTATTTAATATTCATTTATTAGATCTAAAACCAAGCTACTTAGGAAGAATATTTCTTTGATAACATTTATGTATATAAAAATGGACTCTTTGGTTTATAATTTCATCCTTTTCATTTTAAATATTCTAGAACCAAACTAAGTATTAAAATAAACATTGTTTTAAACAGTATCACACATGGTTAATGTGAAACAATGATTCTACTTTATATTCCTCAGCCATAGTCATATTACATCATATTTGTCTTTCATGACAAATATCTTTGGAATAATAGGTGAGTAACTGGATAATCTTGAGTAAAGTTAAAGTTGAATGTAGCCAGAGTTCAACTTCTTCCTTGCTTATCTGGATTACTCTAGATATCATCTTGATTTAAACAAGATATTTGCTTCCATAAAAGTAGACTGCCAACATATACCCATTACTCAATACGCCACATTAGAATTATGGCTAATCCCAATCATTATAATAGAGAGACACCAGCGTGTTCAGAATGCAGGCACTTAAACTATTCTGAAGATATCTGCCAAGAACTTCTTTGAATTCATACCTATTTTCTTGAGTTTCTGCTTACACACTAAATGTACTATGTAGAGAGTAAAACCACCTTACCCATCTTTACTATGAAAGTACATCTAAGTGCCATTATCTTTCCACCAATATTAATGTGGGGAGAAAAGGGAAGTATTTTGCTTGAAAGGATTACATCCATGAAGTTTAGAAGTGTCTGTTGAGAACTTAAACTCTGAACAAATTATTTGAAGTATTATGTGCTTGCTCAGCCTTCACCCCTGAGGAATTTCTCAGCCACAGAAACTTTGGAAAGTTACTACACCTAGATTCTGACATACAGATGTTTCTGGAGGGAAAAATAAATAAAGGAAAATAAAGAAAAACAGCAGAGGAGAATAAATCTGCAAAAGCTAAAGCTACCAGTCACAGGCCGATGAGACAAAGCCTCCTGCCTTCTCAGTGCCATGAGGAGAGGAGGGATTCAGGAGCTATTATTTAAAAGCACGGAGCACTGGGTGTTACATGAAAATAATGAATCATGGATCACCACATCAAAAACTAATGATGTATTGTAGGTGACTAACATAATAACATAAAATTTAAAAAAATAAAAAAATAAATAAAAGTGACCTGTTTCCAGAAATGGTGGCAGTTGCTACACAAAAAGGCAACAAGCTTTTGCTTGTAATTAAAAATGATTAAAACTAGTTTATGTAATTTCACCTTCAAAGTTATCTTGCGCTACATTTTAGGACTTCCAATTTCAGAGCTGCCTAAAGACAATTAGCTCATTTTCCTCTTAGGCCTGAAAAATGCCCCATCTAACAAAGAATGGGTAATATTAAAGTCAATCTGGTTTGGGTAATGTGGTTCTGTCTTTGGTAAGTGGGTAAAGGACAATGGTCCAGAATTACAAAAGCGAATGTTTCTAAGAGCAAAATGAAAAATCTCTTGCATTCACTGGACTCCAATTCTAATGCTTTTTAATAATTTGATACTAATATATAAAGATTATACAATTTCCTTATCAGATTATAAGCCAATGCCCATTCCAACAGTTATTTTTCTTTAAACGCAAAACTTTTGTAGATCAAGTGGCTACTTTTCCTGTGAAGAATAACTGTTCTCTCTCAAAGTTTTATTTGTATGCTATTACCTCATTAGAAAGTCTGCAAAATTTCCAATCGATTACATGCAGCTTTCCAAAACAATAAAATCCCATGTTGCAGTAATTCCCTGTTATAATGGGAGTCGTAAAACCTGCTTTTATGAATAATGTTAAACTGAGTCCATATTCTGGATTTGTGTTTATAAAATGCCATAAACGGCTTAGGTTACTGCAATATTTCTGGTATATTCTGGTGGAGACAGAGCAAAAGAGAGAGAAAAGTTGAAATTCAGAAAAGTTGCCTCCATCATAATGGAGTAGAAGCCAGCAAGGTATGGTGTGGTGTAGTATTAAAAGTACAGGCTTTTTGGGCACCTGGGTGGCTCAGTCGGTTAAGCGACTGCCTTCGGCTCAAGTCATGATCCTGGAGTCCCTGGATCGAGTCCCGCATCGGGCTCCCTGCTCGGCAGGGAGTCTGCTTCTCCCTCTGACCCTCCCCCCGCCATGTGCTTTCTCTCTCTCTCATTCGCTCTCTCTCAAATAAATAAAATCTTTAAAAAAAATAGTTAAAAAAATAAAAATAAAAGTACAGGCTTTTGCGTTCAAACCCAATTCTGCGTTCAAACCCAGTTCTACCGATGCAGAGCCGTGTGACTCTTGGAAAGTTATGTAACTTCTCGAAGGGTTAGTTTTCTCATTTGCAAAAAGGAACTATTTACTTTACAGCGTTATTGTGAATACTTAACAAGGTAATATGTTTAACATTGAGTTCCATCCCCTGCCTAGCTTCCTAACCTAAGGGACTGCTTTGCCTAGCACAGACACAAGTTAAACTTGTTGTTTCCTTTCCCTTTTCATTGTTAACAGGGCAACCAGCACAAGATCAAAATGGTGGCCTAGCAATTAAAACTGTCCTGGTAAGTTACAATCAGAAAGTAACGTCAATTTCATTCCCTACCTCACCTACTATGATTATTTTGAGCCATGCGTGTCCTTGTTGTCTGGTGGAATTCAACTAAAGCTTTCTTGGCTGATTACCATTGAGTCATAAAATCTAAATATTCTCTCATTTAATTCTCAACAGTTTGGGCGAGGCAGATATTGAACGAATTTGGGAGGTAATGGGATGTGACAGAATGTTACAGACACGTTAGTACAATTACTTATAGTTATGTGACTTGGAGCATTACCTCTCTGAGTCTCAAAGTCTCATTTATCACCTAAAACATCTACAAATAATGAGGACAAGGGTACCCACAAAATAATTATTGTGGGAACTTTAGGTTCTAGCTCAAGACCTGGTCCATACAAGGGTTCACTAAATGTTAGATTTTCTTTTCCCTGCTATCATGTTTTCTCTTCTCATGTTCTCATCGTGTTTTTTAAACACTATGGAAAATTATCTTAATGACTGATATTTTAATGCTCTCATTTTAACTTAATAGATTTATTTGACTGAATCTTGAATTTTTAAAACAACATACTGCCCCATATTACAACTTAGAAGGTGTTAATATATTTAAAGAGTTACAGAAATATCTCACACTTCTCAAATGGTGTGTTGTTTCTTGAATTCTGTCCTTTGTGGATGAAGTGCAGCCAAGTTAAAGTCTCTTTAATGGATGTGGGGCTTTAATTTCATTACTTTAAGAAAGGCAAAGAGTATCTTATGATCTAAATACTTGAGGATGATCCAGTTAAGATAGGAAAGATTTAAAACTTTCAACCAGGCTCTCTGGTCATGAAAGAATGAGGCCAGATACCACTTCTCATGTCCATCACAGTACTTTCATGAAAACACTATGCACTCACACTGCATTTGGCACAGCATAAAAAAGAGCAAGGACTTTTGCAAGCAAAACACCTAAGCATTGTTGGACTGCTCTAAGATAAAAATTTATGCAGAAGTTTACATTTCTAAAGCTTTTTTATCTTAGAGGAAAGGTATAATTCAGGTTTCCCAAATATCTGCTGGTTGCTCTAAGTTTCAAGGAAGGAATGACTATATAATGACTGGTGAGGGCAGCATGGGGTCCTCTGGTCCAGAGTGGAAAGATTTTCACAAAATGAGGAAAAGAAATTCCTAGCATGTACCACATGAGGCTGATACTTTGCAAACACCTCAGTCAAAATGAAAGATGTGCTGAGCTACATAGTTTAAGTTGTACTGTTGCTGCCCAACCGGTTGTATATGCTCCACAGGAAAATTAATAAAATATAACAAGTTGTCCTGTAGAGTTTAAAGGTAATTAAAACCCAAAAAGGCTTTGTCCTATTTTTCTCATAATTTGGAGATATGAAAACCCATAAAGATATATTATAAAGGGCCACTGATAGTATTAGGATCCTTTTTTTAAAGGAAAGACTTTGGAATGAATGCTTAAAATCCATACACCATCTCTCCACTAAAGTTTCTATTTGAGACTTAAGAAGATCTCCAGTCTGAAGAAGACAATTTACATTCTATTTACCATTACCATTTAAAAATAATGTGTATAGAGACATTCCATCTACACTGTAATTAAGCACAACTAACTTTATCACACAGAACAACTTTACTGTATATTAGTACACTGGTAAACATATACATCATACCTCAAACTCTCTCCCTACAGAATCTATTGGCATGTTACAAAAAGTGTCCACAAAGTTCTTTGGACAAATGCTTATAGCTATAGTCATTTGTATTTTAAAAACTATTTGAAATTACAGTAGTTCATTTATTTTTATGTATAAAGTTTCCAAACTTCTGCATAAATCCTCGGAACTTGTTTTCATTTGGCTGGTATGAGTGGTAAACACCAGTGTTGTAATTAAGCATCGGGCTGGACCTGCCATAACTATTGCCCACAGTTGTGGATTTTATTTCTGGGCGGTGCACACCAGTATTTGGTATGTTGCTTGCGGGCTGAATAGAGCTTTCAATCTTATAAAATGGCTCAAAACGACTGTAAATGCGCCTGTCGGTTGAATGAGATCTTAGAAGCTCATTGGGCTTTGGCCGTGGAGAAGCAGCTGGTTTTCTTTCAGGAGCAAGAACTGTATTAATCTCCTTCGAATCTCGGTATTGGATCTGTTCAGTGTTAAATCTCGGGGCAGAAGCATCTCCTGCTCTTTCCAAGAACTTGTTTTCAACTGGACCCGGAGCAGGTATTATTTTGCTACTTTCATCAGATGGAGAATTTATCCCCTGAGATGAGCTAACAGTTACATCTTCCTTACTCTTGTGAATACTGCCTTGAGAGTTTGATGATGAAGAACGCTTTCTTCTAGGAGATGAATCAATTTTTGGTTCTGATTTTTTTGGTTTTTGATTCTCTTCAGCCTCAGAAACTAAAGTGTCAGAACTACTACACATTCTATAAAAGGCAGGTGCTTTATTTTTGGATAGATTTTCTTTCTTCTCTGGGGTCAGGCTAAGTAATGACCTTAACTTCTGAGATCCCTTTTTCAAAAAACTTGGAGAGCCTTTAACTTCCTTCTTTGAAGTGAGTTCTTTGCCAGGTTCATCTTTATTCATATCAAGCAAAGCAGCAACGGAAATTGACTTGGTCGTGGTGCCACTTGGAGGCTGTCTCTTTAGGACCTCCCTGTCCTCTTCTATGCTCTGGGTCACGTTGTGCATGCTTTTAGAATTTTTCAGCAAGTCCTCTTTGGGTTTTTCTGGCTGTCTAACTCGATTCCTGGTAAGCGTACTATATACATAATGCTTACTATGTCCGTGATCTAGGTTAGCTTTTGAGTGGTCAAAGAATGGGAAACTGCGCCTTTTGAGCAGATTCTCATTTTGTTGATTCTTTAGATTTTCTGTCTGCTTATTTACACACAAGGATGTATATAAATAGTTGTTTGCCTCTGTATGGCCATTTGTGGTTTCATTTAAGACTGTGGAGTGGTTTTCAGGAACCTGCAAGGTGTGCATTTTTGGTGCCTCTGACTGCAACGGGAGCTTGGGGCTTGATTCTGGCACGGGTTTGTCTGTCACGTTCTGTCCACTCGTAGGGGTGTCTGGGACCTCCTTAGGTGTGTCACTTCCCTGGGAACCAATGACAGTTGAATTTGAGGAGCCAGTCGTACAACTGTTAACTTCCTGTTGTTCCGGTAAAGTTGGTTTAAACACAAAAGAGGAACGAAACCGAGAATGAGTATAATGGGCATTGGCTTTCAAATTTTCAGAACTATCATAGCCCTCAAACCGGTCACCTAGAGCCGACCCATTTGAGTCAGGTGCAGCTTCTGAATGATCATTTAAGTAGGATTCAATTCTCCAGTTACGCAAGAATGACTTTGTGGTATGTTCAAGGGTTGGCATTCTTTGTTGCAAAAAGCGAATATGATTATCTGTTCCGTTAAAAGACCTCCGCACATTTGAGTTCCTCTCTGCAAGATTTGTTGTTTTTCTCTGGGCAAGCCGATCAGCAAAACTCTGGGCAGGTGTGTTTTGGTGGCTCACATAGCCTCCTCGCAATGAGGATGCCACACTGAGACTATCTGAAGGCTTTTTCCAATTACCTGGAGGATTAATGTTTCGATTTAGAGCCCTGTTAAGCAGCAGGTATGGTGCTGTTTCTGGCTGTTCCCCAGCATAACTATGCCTCTTCCAATTTTCATTTATCTGACTGGATTGATACTGACGGACTGTATTTGGACCATTAAAGTTTGGAATAAAATGAGGCTTGTATCCAGGATTTCTTATGCTGTATTTGTCATGTTCATTTAGAGTATATATCCCTCTGTTTTTGAAGTAACCAGATTCTAGTTTATGAATTTTGTCTTGTCTGCCAAAAAGGTTTCTTTGGCTGGAAACGGAAGCTAATGAAGAAAGTGACCGCTGGTAGGTGCCATTCTCCCAGAGTGCTTTGCCAGGCTTCACCCTTGCTGATTCTTCCTGAGCAAATGAACTGGGGATACAGGATCGGGCATAGAGAGTTCTAAATTCTTCATCAAAGGACTCAACAAGTTGTCCTGTGATTATCTGAACCATGCTGAGGTGAGCTTTTTCAAATGACCACATGTAGCTGAAAAATAATCAAAATTGGAAAATTTTAATTTTTCTGTTAGAAGATTAATGACAATATATAACTCTAAGAAAAAATGTGTTGCTTAACATCAACAAGAGTATTTTTGTTCATTTTCCCTGCCTACCATAATTTAGAACATCTTCAGTCATTAAATGCTTGCAGTGCCTGTATCTCCCTACCCCCACATTTGTATCTTAAATAACAAAGCAACTCAAGTCCTGGCTTTGAATCCACCCATAATTTCTTTTTTTTTTTTTTTTAAAGATTGTATTTATTTATTTGAGAGAGAGAGAATGAGAGAGAGCACGAGAGTGAAGAAGGTCAGAGGGAGAAGCAGACTCCCTGCTGAGCAGGGAGCCCGACGTGGAACTCGATCCCGGGACTCCAGGATCATGACCTGAGCCGAAGGCAGTTGCCCAACCAACCGAGCCACCCAGGCGCCCCCACCCATAATTTCTGACATTACTTTCTAGAAGTCCAAAGAAGAGCCTGCTGTGCATTTTGCATCTCTGCCTCCTAAGATTTTATGGTGTAGAAAACGTTTTATTTCATAGATAGCAGCCTGGCAGAGGGCAGGCAAGCCAGTATGAATAGAAAAGTTGAGACACCTGACTTTTGTTGAGCTATCTACCCACGTGAGCATGGGCCTCAGTTTCCAAAACGCTAGCATAATCCTACCGTTCCTTATAGTTCTAGCATGTTATAATACAAGATAGGTCTTTGCTAATACATTTTATCTCTTTGGCTTACTCAGGAAGTGTACTTTGGGATGCTAGGGCTTGTGAACAGAGAGAGCCTTTGTGGGCTGCAGTCTCTTTCCATAAAGGGCACCTTACTGCTTACTTTATGCATGCAGTGGACAGAGAACTGGTAAATTTAGCCTCAAAAGCCATGCCAGTCAGAATGCCAATTAAGATCTTTTCATATAAAATACAATTTCTAGGAAATTAAAGTTTGTAACTACTTTATAGTACTTTGTGGAACTTCTACAGTTTAGAGGTGACAGTTGAAATGTCATAGAAAATTTCAAGTCTGATTTGTAAAAATTTAGATAATGTAACATACAGAGTCACTGAGCCAAAAAAGGAATTGCTAATATGCTATGTATCAAATACTGTTCCTGATATAATAGGGGTTAATAAAGGAAAAAGGAGACAGACATTCTCCACAATGAAGGAGCCTGCTCTTTATAGAGGGGACACAATAACAAAGGCAGATGAAATACTAAAAGAATGTACAGAGTATGAATTTAAAATACACAAAATATCATAAACAAGAGTGTAAAACTTAAGAGTCCTATTATTTTATCTAGTGTGTTTCCTGGATGCACGGTATGAGAAGAATAACTCACTAAGTGCTCTTTTTGTACAGATGTGTGGGTCACAGGTTGACTTAAAATAAATGATACAAAGTGAATCACTAAAGGAATTTTCAACCCCACTGAAGAACCGAATACAAAATTTGTGAGAAACAGCCAGTAGAAGAATGAATAGTCAACTATGACATATGAGAAAATCCCCAGAGACAAGTGGAAGTTTAGCTGTATTTTGACAGAGACTGTACAACCCAGACATTAAAACACAAAAGGTGTCGAACAGCTTGTGTGGGAGGAGAGACATATGGGAATAAGGAAGTAAGAATGGCCATGTTTTGGTTGAACACAGAAAAGAAATTACATTTAGCTGAGGTAAAGAAGTTATATAAGAGACTGATGAATGGGTGGGGAAAATCTTGAAAGCAAAGCAGAGAGTTTGACTGTGTACGATTCTTTTCCCCCCCAGTTCGGATAAATTATCATAAAAAGATGTTTGAGGAGTGATTTTTTTTCCAGTAGGTATTTGTACTATAGACTTGAAAGATGAGGGACTGAACTTACTGTGATGGGTAAGAGAATTGAAGTAAGGGGATAAGAGCCCAAACCAGAGTAGAAATTAGAATAAAGAGTAAAAATGTTGAGCCAGGAACAAGAAGAGAGAACCAGAATATCGGCACGTCATAAAGGACATGTATAGGTTATTAAATAAAAATAACCTCCAGGTGTTGAACTCAGGAAACTGAGAAGATAATGGCACTGGTGAATATGTTGCAACTGGAGAACTTTCCCTGCTTTGGTCAGTCAAAAAACAATATTGTGATATCACTTCAGGTAACAGGAAGACATTCAATTATATATGTTCAGTGTAGAGATTATTCTCTGGAACCACTAACAGCCCCAAATAAAAGAGCTATTTTACTGACACCCAGGAAACTTTCAATAAAACTGTCAAGACTCCAGCCAATCACTCTCCTGTAAACTCAGCTCTTGATAAACATTTCCCATGCAATTTCCAATAAGCGTTAGGGTCCCTCATTCTTTAACAACAATACACAGCAAAAGATCAGCAGACATTTGAAGACAGTTTAGAAGATGGTTTATAAAGCTTAAAAGTTTAGATGCAAAACAAGCCAAAACAAGCAGGAAACAGGCACCTGGAGGAAACAGAAATTGCACAGATAAGAATACATATAAAAACAGAGCTACAAAAAAACTATAATTAATATCCTCAAAGAAACAGAGAAAATGATGAATCTATAAAACACAAACAGGATGCTTTGAAAATGGTCCAAGTAGGAGATATTAAAAATATTTGATAGAAAAATTAAAAAAAAAAGTTGTAAAAGATGTGTTAGAATAAACAACTGAGAAAATCCCTCGGGCAGTACAATGCCACCCACCCACAGACAGAAAATCAAAGGGGAAAAAATTATAATGGGAGCAGAAATCTAGTGAATAAGAATTCCAGAGAGAGAGAGAGAGAGAGAATAGAGACAACTGAAGAGAAGAAATGATCAAAGAATAAGTAAGAAAATGTCCCAGAATTGAAAGATAGGAGTATTTGGATTGCCTAGAACAATAAATTAAAAAAAGCCTAGACCAAGAAACATAATAAATTTGAGAATAGCAGGGAATAGAAGAGAAACCTTAGAAGTTTCCAGTGAGGAAAAAAAAAAAAGTTACATAAGAAGAATGGGAATAACAATTGTTTGAGACTTCTCAACAGTAATTTTGATTGCCAGGCAGTGTCTTTCAAATTCAGAGGAAAAACGATTTGGCTTAGAGTTCTATCCCGAGTTAAGCCATTAATCACATAAAATTATGAATTTTTGGACTTAAAAAAAAGTTCCATGGTAAGGGAAATTGTTCTTGAGCAAACATGAGAGAAAAACTATGATTTGGAAACAAAAAAGAAGGAAAAAGGGGATTAACATGGGATTTCAGACATTGTGGCTGAAACTACTCGGGAGTATGGGAAATTACAGGACCCCAGCAGAGCTCCAGGTAAAAGACCTGCTAGGCCAGATGGGACACGACAGATTGTTGGTAGTAATCGAGCATTTGGAAAAGTTGTTCATGTGCTAAGAAATCTGTAGAGTCAACTGGAAAAATAATAGCAATACATAAATAGAAAACAAAGACAATGAATAAAACCAAAACCAAATGGTCATAATTAACTTTGTTATAAAAAAGGAAGCATATCACAAATGACTCCATGGCTCATCAATGACCAATTCCGACACAATTTCAGTAATGTAAAACGAGACTTCTCACTTAACAAACAACTGTGATAAAACTGTACTGGGTGAATGGCAACCAGGAGGGCAAGTGGATATGGGTGAATAGCAGATGTAACCCTTCAATTACCATACTACAGAATGAAGAGATAATATCTAAAAGTGATAAATTGAGCATTTGTAGTATAATCACATTATGTAAGAGAATGTAATAACTATCAGAAGAATTAGCTGGAAGAATTAAATAACTGCATCTGGAGATCAGATTCCAGGAGTGGATACCGATGGAGAACAAAAACTGTCTTGTATTGCATATCTATCTTTCTTTTCTTTCTTTTTCTTTCTTTTTCTCTTTCTTTCTTTCTTTCTTTCTCTTTCTTTCTTTTTCTTTCTTCCTTCCTTCCTTCTTCTTCCTTCCGTCCTTCCTTCATTCCTTCCTTCCTTCCTTTTCTTTCTTTTTCTCTTCTTTCTTTTCTTTTCTTTTTAGTAGGCTCCATGCTAGGCAGTACTTGAACTCACAACCCCCGAGATCAAGGCCTGAGCTGAGATCAAGAGTCGGAAGCTTAACCGAGTGAGCCACCCAGGTGCCCCTGTATTGCTTATGTTTTAGTAATATTTGCTATTTTTAAAAATGTGCATGAAACATAAAATTAACTTACTACTCCCACTCCCTTCAGACACACTGTCATATTCATGATATTGGGAAAGTGGTTATGAATTTACATATTAAAAAGTGGCTCAAAAACTCTGACTTCCTGGTTGGGGGTTTACACAGTGAAATCCAGAGAGTGAAAGCAGTGACAGCACACGGGTTGTAGCATGGTTCTCTAACTGTGACAGTCTTCAAGTCTGATCAAAGATGGCACCTGGAAGCCAACAACTTCAGTGAAATGTGTCTTCTGAAAGGAGCTTTAATAGAGACCATAAGATTAAAAAAAAAAAAGGCTTATAAAATTCTCCTCAGTCAAATTTGTGGACAATATTCTACTAAATATGTTCCAGATTTTCATACAATTTCAAACGTGGGCATCCAATTCACAATTTGATTTGTACACATTGATAAAAAGTATATGTGCTTTATCTCATCAGTGATAGTATCATGATAGGACAGAACACCTGTTGCAGTCTTCTGATAAAACTGTCATCACGATGAGTGAATTGTCACACACTGTATGACTAGGTATCAGGCCTCTTTGGAAATGCTTGGAGTTTAGAATATGAAGACATTTTGGGACGTCTGGGTGGCTCAGTCAGTTAAGTGTCTGCCTTCAACTCAGGTCGTGATCCCAGGGTCCTGGGATTGAGCCCCGTATCGGGCTCCCTGCTTGGTGAGCCTGCTTCACCCTCAGCCTCTGCTGCTCCCCCTGCTTGTGCTCTATCTCTCTCTGACAAATAAACACATAAAATCTTTAAAAAAAATAGAATATATAGACATTTTATGGCAAAGAATTTTGAGTTAAAGAAGGTGGCATTTTGATTTGGGCTATGAGGAAGACGATGGCAATACTGGGATATGAAACAAGGCTGTTTTTAACCAAAAATAAGTCAATTTTTAACCAGTTTCTACGAAGACTGGTTCATAACTGTTCCACCAGATCCTGTTACAATATTGTTAATAGGAAAGGTCCATGATAATGAGGAAAAAAAAAAAAAAGACAAGGGCTGACAATCTTTTTTTTTTTAAAGAAGTGTATCTAAAATCAACATGGAAAATAAGGAAAGTGGAGTTGTTACATAAAGAGTTTTGGTTAATTTTTATCATCTGTGGTCCTAGGCATTCCACAGATTCACTTCCATAAACAGTAACTTAAATTCTGCCTTGGCTTATGATATACATAGAAAGATAGAGTTTCTATTGCTCTTGTTTGTTTTTCCCAACGTCACTTTAGCCACAGTCATCTCAACATACAGCACCTATTAATGCCTAGTGGCAGCAAAACAAAGTTAAGATGAAATTATTGTTCAAGGTAATCTTAAAAGTCAAGTTAAATAATAAAAACAGAAAGCCTTCATTATGATGAGATTAACTAATAAATACCATTCTATAAGTCAAGTGAACATCTAATTTTAATTTCAATGAAAAACCCTGTAAAACCAAGTGGGTCTGAACAAATACATACACCTATACTGAGTCTTTAAGAGGACTCGTTAATTTCAAGCACTGGTTGTAATTTCGTCTCTTAACAAGCCTTCCTTTAGAACTCCAAAAGGCACTTTCAAAAAAAGGTCCCTGAGCCGAAAGGGAAAATTAGCAGATAGTATCAGCTAAAACATGCCTACAGTAATAGCTGACTTCAGGGGCTATGCTGCATTGACTCCTTTGATTCTTACGACAACACAAGGTAGGCTCTAGGATTACCGTTACTTTACAGAAGAGTAAAGTGAAGTGCAACCAAGTTGAGTAACTTGCCCATGGCCAATCACTTCAACACATTTTGGTGTCTCCTTACTGTGGACTTTTTCAGTTCTTAAGAGAAGAGGCAAACGTTTCCCCTCACACTGTCCTGTTTACCCCCACAGCTCTCCTGGCTCCTTCCCAGGGTCTTTAGTAACGAGTCTGTGCTACCCTGGTGACTTAGCAGTTCGCATGTGCTGGTTGATATTTTCATCTGCCTGGTGATACGACCTTATTGTGTAGCCCATTTAGGACTGATGGCCGCAATTTATCAGAGAGTATTAGAGAAGCACTTGGACTCTGGAGCCAGCAGAACTTGGACTGGGCTGCCAATCCTCGACTGCTTCTGACCTTTAGCTGTGGAGTTTTCAGACAAGTCACTTAGCCTTCTGGAACTTCAGTTTCATCATTTATAAATGTAGATGAGAACAAGTGCCCTTATACCCTGTATAAGTGGTAAGGACGGGGGATGACATATGTGGAAGAGCCAAGCTGGAACAGAGTAGGGATTCCAACCGGTGGTCACCTTGAAAGATGTCAGATAATAGTAACCCGAGTGACCTTGTCTAGTGTCTACCATGGCATTTTTAAGGGCCTGACTCCGAAATGCTTTTTTGGGTAGCACTACATATAGTGACTACATGATGATAACTATCAGATTCTTAATAATATTAAAATAAGAACAATCCATAGGTCAGGTTGCTCCAAGTGATAAAGAGCTTCTATTTTTTTTTTTAGTTTTTTTTATTATGTTACGTTAATCACTATACCTTACATCATTCGTTTTTGATGTAGTGTTCCATGATTCATTGTTTGTGCATAACACCCAGTGCTCCACGCAGAACGTGCCCTCTTTAATACCCATCACCAGGCCTAGAACCCTCAGTTTGTTTCTCAGAGTCCATCGTCTCTCATGGTCCGTCTCCCCCTCGGATTCCCCCCCTGCTATCTTCTTCTTCTTTTTTTTTTTTAACATATATTGTATTATTTGTTTCAGAGGTACAGGTCTGTGATTCAACAGTCTTGCACAATTCACAGCACTCACCATAGCACATACCCTCCCCGATGTCTATCACCAAAGCGCTTCTATTTTTATGAGCAACTGTTATTATTAAGCCCATACTAGGACCGTTTTCGTAAGGAGCAAAACCACTCCTAGCATTACAGAACTGTAGAGAACCTGAAATATCGGTCAACACCGTACTCCTCATTTTGGGGCCGGAGAACTTGGAGCCCAAGGAAGTTTTATGACTTGCCCAATGTGTTAATGTTCTTTAGAGGCACAACCAGAACTGAAACCCAAGTCTCCAAGCTTCCATGCAAAGGTTCTTTTTTATTTCTAAGAAATAGCTAAATAGGTTATATTAAAATTTGAAATTAATAAATTCTATAAATGACTGATAAGGCTGGAGGTAAACACAATGATCTTACCTGTAGGAACCATACATAACTTTCTGGCAGTCAATTAACAAAAATTTCTGTTCCAATTTTCCATGAAATTTTGCTCCCGTTTTGGAAAGATAATCTTGGCCTCTTACTGTCCGCACTCGAATATTCTATAATTACATGTAAATATAAAGTAAAATTATAACTAGAAAAGAGATATTTTGAAAATGAAATACATATCAATATAAAATCTTAGTACCAAAAAAGTATACTTGAAATAATCTTTTAAAACATGTAACAGCAACAACAAAAAATGGTAAAAGCAAATTTTAAGACATCACCCAAAAAAGAAATACTCAAGAAAAACAGTCACTTTAAATATGTATTTTAACATAACATAAATAGGGGGCATTATTTCACAGTTACACAGAATGGTTTCATAAATCACCTAGGGTCCTACTGCAAGAGAGCCTTTCAAGTTATAGTAGCATGATTTCACAATAACTACAATTAAAATCCATGTCCTTTTTAAGAAGTCAAATGTAACTGAAAACACTATGCCTAATGATTGTGATAAGCAACATCTGCTGAATGAAAGAATCACTCGAGTCAGTGGTTTCAAGGGTATTTATGGAGAAACTGAAGCATTTATTATGACTGAGCAAAGTTAACTCAGAAGCTTAAGTGCCCCATTATCAAGAAAAGCACCTTCTAAAACCATCCTGAAGATGTGTGTTTTCAGTCACATTCCAAAAAAGTACAAGGGTACCCTTCTGTGATCAATCATTATACCATCTTAAATATATTTATGCATATATGTATATATTTTTATTTTGGAGTGCTGTAGCTTAACTTGCCTTAAATTCAACTGAAATAAAAATGGTACACAAAATACTTGAAGAAAAAACAAACAAACATGGAATTCTTACCCTGAGTCGTTGAACTTGACAGCCCTGTTTTTCAGTCATATTTAGGAAATGATTAAAGTTGGACTCATCCAGCAGAATGTATACAGATATCCCTCGAGTTAATGCCTCCACTATTTCTTTGAAAATGTCCACATCTGTAAATATATCCATCACTAAAGCAATGACCTATTAAAGATAAAAATGTAAAACAATTATAGATACCCAATAGGGAAAGGTTTAGAAATTGCTTGCTCTCAATAATTGGATAAAATAGAAAATAATCAAATACAGAACACTTATAAATGTATACACAATGTGTGTACAGTCTCCTAAAAGAGGAGATGCAAAAGTACACTGAAAATAAACAAGTGACTACATACAGATTTGCAGAACTAAGTAATTTCATACTGGCTTTAAGTCAAAGGGAATCTGCATTTCAGTAGGATGCGGAGCAAACACGAACCCAAATCATAGTCACATGGATGCAAGTAGGGTAGTGGGAGGAGACGGGTAGACAGAAGGGAGAAACCAGTGTTACAATTTTTTGTGGGAAACATTTCTAGGGAAAAGCAACCTCTCTGAAACTAGCTGTTAGTAATAAATGTTTTGGGGTACTGGGAAAGAGAAAAAAATTCTTATAGAAATAGAAATATAGCTAGGAAGCAGCCAAAGCTGAGAAAGGGTACAGACTTGAAGACCAGAAAATTAAATAAATGTGCCTAAAATAAGCTTAGCAGACAAAATATGCAGAATAAGCAAAAGGCAGAATGATTAAGAAGATAAACACAGAAACTTCCTAAAGAACAGACCCCTAAAATGAAGAGAGTCCAAGTTAACTGTTGGCAACAGAACCATTATTGACTCTGAGAAGCAGTGGAGTGAAATAATGCTGAAAGCAGGGTGAAATCATTCGACTGATCACCTACTATGCGCTAGACAAGAACACAAAATCCCTGCCCTTGGTGAAGATTATACTTTAGGTCAGGGAAGAAACCACAAGCAATAAATACAAGAAATAGATAAATGTGGTAATAAGCTATAAGGTTTTTTTGCATGCATGAGTGGGGGAGGGGCTAGGGGAGAGGGATAAACGGATTCCTTACTGAGCACGGAGCGTGATGCAGGGCTCAGTATCATGACCCAGAGATCATGACCTGAGCTGAAATCAAGAGTTGGATGCTTAACTGACTGAGCCACCCAGGCACCCCTGTAAGATGAGAAACTTATTGGGGAAAAAATAGAAAAGAATAAGGGGGATCACGAGCCCCCAGAAATTGAGAAGGTAGGATTTGGGACTTTCTAGGTAAGTCTCTTTGAGAAAGTATCCTTTGAGCAAAGACATAAAAAGGAATTGAGTTAGTCATCAACATGGATACCCTGAGAAATTGTGTTCCAGGCAGGGGATACCAGCAGTGCAAAGGCCCAACATAATGAGTTTGCCTGGCATATTCAAGAGACAGCAAGTAGACAGTGGAAATGACATGAAATCACAATGCCTTGAAGGTATTACAAAGCCTTCAGCCTTCTGTCCTGAAAAAGACTGTAAGCTATGAGAAGCTTTTCAGTTGAGGCAATAATATGATCTGATTTATGTTTGAAAGGATTGTTTTGGCTCCTTTGTTGATTCTAAGGGTGGGAATCAGGGTGGAAACAGGCAGCCAGTTAGAACTACTGGAGCAATTTAAGTCAGGGGTGATGGTGGCTAGGAGAAGGATTAGTCCTGGTCCTAGTCACCATCAATGATGAAGACAAATGGCCGAATGCTGGATGCCTTTGAGACAAAAGATTTCTGAATGGACTGAACACAGGATGTGAGAGGAAAAGCGGGAAAAGAAGGTGACTCTAAAATTTTTAGCCTCACCAACCTGAAGGACCAAGTTGTCATCAACTGAGATCGGGAAGAATGCAGCGACACTAAATTTTAGGTAGAAGATTAGAAAGGCTAGTTAAGTTTGAGGGGCCAAGTGGAATGCTAAGTAGAGAAGTCTTGGCCAGAGATATCAATTGGGTGTCAGTTGTGTGGAGATGACAGTTAAGTCCAAGTCACCAAGGAAGACTGGATCAAGGAAAGGAGACCAAGGACTGGGCCCTAGGACAAGACAAGGTACCAGCAAAGGACGCTATAGTTTTAGTGGAGTGGTAAGAGCAAAAGCCTTACTGTAAGGGGTTTAAGAGGCAATGGGAAGACAGATACTGGAAAGAGCAGGAATAGGCAACTCTTCTTGAGTAAGCTGGCTATAATAAGAAGCATAGAAATGAAGATGTAGCCATGGGGAAAGCTGGATCAAGTGGAGTTTTACTTTTTTGTTGTTTTAGGGTGACAGAAATAACGGCATGTCTGTATGCTAATGAATGAGTGAAACTGAATGATGTAGGAGATGGTGGGAGGTGGGCGGGGAAGGAAAGACTTTCTGGAGCAGTGTCTTTGAGTAGGAAATAAAAAAGCAAATCTAGTGTAAAAATAAAGTAATGAGAGCACAGAGAATAAAGACCAGGAAAAGATCATCTCTAAAATCAAGACAGAAGGCCACGGGTGCAGATGCTGGAGGAAAGGCAGGTGTGGCGGTGGTGCTGGGCAAGTGCTCTTGTGAGTGCTTCAATGTTTTCCATAAACTGGGAAGCAAGGGCTTCAACTGAGAAGACCCTAGATTATGGGAGATGTGTTAGATAGAAGATGACAAAAGGGGTATTAAGGAATCATCTAGGATGGCAGGAAACAGAATGAACTACAGAAATACAGTAAAATTATAGGGCTGTATTAAGGACTCACTCGATCATAAATTTAAAATGAGAACAGTCAATGTGGTTGTAAGTTATTCTCCAGCTTTAATGAGCTACTCCAGCATGGAGCAGGCAGAGAGTTTGACTTAACCACGGATGTAGTTATGGCCATGAGAGTATAAGGGAGTGAGAGAAGGAAGCGGAACTGAGGGTGTAGGTAATGTGGAGTGGCTAAAGTGACTGGTCATGGGACTTAAAGTAGACAAAGAGAGGAAAGAGTCATGGATGTGGGAGGCAGTGAAATGAGAGTGGAATCAATGAATTTGTGAAGTCTTGATAGGGTTAAAAAACAAATATTAAGAAATTACTTTTAACTTTTTGACAGTATATATAATAAAAGTCTTATCCTTTAAATATACATAATAATACACATATTAATATAATTACAGATGAAATGATAGGTTGCCTTGTATTTAGTTCACATGATAGTCAATGAAACAAAATTGGCAAAACATGAGGGTTCTACGTACTTACTTTCTACTTTTGGAAACTTTCACAGCACAAAGTTTAAAAAATAAATAAATAAAGGAATACTAGATACTAGCAAGTACCAGAGGGAAGTGACAATCAGATGGGGATACTTGAGTTAGGTTCTAGAGGGTCTGCAGTTACCGGCTATGCTGTTATCAAGGATATGACCAGGAGTCAACGGCTGAGGTATATGTAGGACAAGATCATGGGAGGCAAGGGATTGATCTTAGAAGCATCTCTTCATGGATAGTGGAGACGGGAGTAGCACTGGAAAGAGTGATGGAGAGCAAGGAACAAAAACTGTCAAGAAATGAGAGGGGATGGAAGAGACACATGGCAACGATAACCAGGAAAATGTAATTAACATAATTGTGACTATGTTAGAAGATGAAGAAAGTCATGGATGATATGTAAACTTGTTTTTATTTACTCTAATGAGAGGTTGAAAGAAAAAACTGGACCATACCCAAACTACAGAAGTCGATGACATTCTTCAAACTACCAATGAAACATACTTCAATCAGATTTTCTCTAGGAAGAACAATTTCAATCATTCTAGTAGCTTCGCATGACCCTTTTCTTATTTATGAATGGTATGAGGTGCCAGAACAATGAAAAAGATAGTGGTAACAACCTCATGCATGTCTTGTGCATATTCTTTATAAAACTACATATGAGGAAAAACCTTCAAGTCACATCAGAATTATTCATTAATGCATTGACTCTGAAATGACAAGTGGTATGATGATGTAGAACTTCGAGATAAGGAAAAGAAAATGTCTGTATTATAAACTTATTTTACAGAATAACTTCTAAAAATTTAGGTCTGGAGCACTCTGACACTTTTTTTTTTTAACTAGAAATTTTTTTTTTAAATAAGAAAACATGTATTGTTTAAGAAATTAATCAGCACATCTAAAGAATTTATCTTTTATTTGCTAGAGTCTCATGTAATAAATTAAGACTTTGGAAATAAACAAAACACATTACCAGGATAAATAAAGGTTTCTGTTTGCAAAAAAGTAACTGAAGTCAGTCAGCCAATGGATGATTCTAGCATACTGAAAGTAGAACAAATTATAATCTCTCTTGCATGACAGATAATACAGTGGATCAGGATCCAAGAGACTAGATTATACATCTATGACAAGCTTATCTGATGTCAACCGAGTCAGGTAGCTTATCAGGACTTCTGGTTTCCTGCATCCTCATGAGGTGGAAAATTATATAACATCTACAGAAAATTTCAGCTGTGCCAAGGAAGGCAAAATAAAATGTAGCACTTTTTTTTTTTTTTATGGTGGGTTATATTCCTGGAAAGGAATAATAATTACTAAGGAGGTATGCCAACCTGATCTGAAAGTATTACAATCCCAAGTAGTTAACTAAATCACACTGTGCTGTAGAAATGACCACAATGACTATCTATAATAAAAGAAAAATTATATACCTAATTACCATAAGGCTTTTCAAAAGGTATATCAATTGATTTTATAAGTCAATAAAGAAACCAGTCACATGAAATGGTATTCATTAAACTATTATGTTATATACTGTTTAAATTCTTATTTTGCTTCTTCATTAATTCCTGTTTTATTCTTGCTTTGTAAATTGAAAAACTAAACAAATAAATGCATTTATCAGCAACATGAGACTTAGAACATTTTTAGAAAGATATCCTGGGTCATTTTTAAGACTTGACTGAAACCTCACTTCTTTTAGTAGTTTCAGAGAACCTGACTCAAGGTCATTGGTTTTCTCTTAGCTTACTCACAGTAGCAAATTCTCCCAAAGTGACCCAGACACTGCAGGTCACGCTAAATTAAAATAATATGAATACTGACAATGAATTTCTCATATAAGGCCATTCAGGAGATTATATAATCAGTTGTTAAGTAATATACTATAATTGTAATTCAGAGAAAGAAAAAAAA